GAGTTGAATTTGTAAAATACCGTGAAAGTTCGTGTACGTGCTACGATACCTGAAAAAGATGTGGCTAGAGCGGAATACCCTTCTCAAATTCCAAAAGTTTGTGAAATGCCCTTTTGAATGCCCTTTAAGATTTAAATGGTTACGTTGTACCCCTGTCAGGGGGGGGGGGCAAGCTTGTGCTATACCCCTGTCAAGGCCATAATGAGAACTTGCACAACCCTCACAGGGTAAGATGGCAAAGCCTTAAATCCAAAAAAATATTTTGAAATTCCAGAGGGGTATTCAACTCTACCCACGTCCTTTAGGGGTATTTTAGCATATGCATGAACTGTCAGGGATATCTTGCAAATTCTCCGTATTTAAAAAAAGAATTGAACTGTATTTCCTCTCTCAAATTCACCTTTCCTGCCAGTTCGCCCGTCCCAAAAAAGAAACGAACGAAAAGGGGCGGCACGCAAGAGGGACCGCCTCTCGAGCCTACTAATCCCCCCTTTCCAGAGGGGTATTCGGCTCAACCCACGTCTTTTAGGGGTATTTTAGCATATCCGTGAACTGTCAGGGGTATTCTGCAAATTCTCCCTTTTTAAAAAAAGAACTATATTATATTTCCTCTCTCAAATTCACCTTTTCCGCCAATTCGCCTGTCCAAAACAAAAACATATGAACGAAGCGGGGCGGCACGCAAAGGACCGCCTCCCGAGCCTATCGGGGCAAGGTCCTACTTGCGCAAATTAGGAGATTTCGGTCATTGATCTTTGCTATCTACGGTCAGTATCTTGTACTCAACATCTATAACAATGTACTGACGGGGGGAAGGTTGACAAACGGAATGATGAGAGGAATAATATCTTTAATTTATAAAAAAAGGGAGAAATCGGATGTTAGGAACTGGAGACCCATATCTGTCCTAAATGTCTCCTATAAGTTTTTTGCTAAAGCTCTGACACTCAGACTTGCAAGGTATTTGTCGGCCCTGGTAGGAAAAGATCAAGGTGCCTTCGTGAAACACAGGTCAATAATGGACAATATAGCATCCACAATCCACGCACTAGAGATACTAGCAGCAGAAAGAAGAGATGTAGTTATCCTACTGTTAGATATGGAGAAAGCATACGACCGTGTGGGGTGGGCGTTTGTAATGACAACATTAAAACAAATGAGATTTGAGCCTAGTTTCAGTTAGTGGGTCAAAATCATGTACTCATCTGCTACTGCAGCTGTAATGGTGAACGGTAAACTTTCAAATTAGTTCACTTTCTCTCGCTCATTGCAGCAGGGATGCCCTCTTGCCCCGCTCTTGTTTGTCCTTCATCTGGAAGTCGTTCTGGATAATATCTATCAGAATGACCAGTTAGAAGGACTAAAGCTAACAAATACAAAGCAATGGAAGGGGGGTGCACTTGCGGACGATCTGACTATTGCGTGTAGAAACACAAGACGAAGCTTAGGTACTCTGAGAGAAATCCTTAATAAGTACTGTAATTTTTCGGAGACTTCTATAAGTTGAAATAAGTCTATTTATTTTCTCCCTGATGAATACCAGCTAAAGGTCAATTGGGGGTTGAGAGCAGTACCAACGGATGATCGATTCCTTGGAGTGCAGGTATCCTTAACAAACAATACAGCCTTTCAAGATGTCATAATGGAAGAAAAGATAGTTCATCGACTCAGCAGTTGGCAGCACACCAGGTACCTATCCCTTATGGGGAGAGCCTTGGTGATCTCCACCGCAGGCTTTGGCGTTTTATGGTTCACGTTAGCGGTTCATCTACTGGGGGATGTGGCCTACAAGAACATCAAGAAAG